TCAATTACTTCTGCAGATTGGATTTCTCTACTTAAGATATGTTGCCGATCCAAAGACATTATGGAGTTGGTATGAGCCATACTTAAAAGACGACGAGGTATGAAAAAGGTGCCCTGTCTGTTTCTTTTTGCTCAACTTTTTTTGTTACTCTTATACTTTTAAGTTCGAGTTGTTCTCATGTTATTTAAAGTAATAATTGATTATGTGCATAATGTTACCATGGCCTTGCCTGATGCAGTATTGGTGTCTTCCTCTGAATATAAATTTGAAAACTGGGTAATAAGTAAGTCAATTTAGATATGAATTACTTACATGCTAGTCAATTTAGATACGAATTACTTACATGCTATTTTGGTTTATGGCTCTGGCAACTAATTAGGTTCCAATGTAGTCAAATTGTGATATTTGGTTGGAGTATTGATGTGGTTCTCTTAGAATGGACACACCTTCCAATTTGTTTTATTTGTTTGCACTCTTTCTGAGAATATTCCCACTTAATATGTCTCAATTCTCTTTTCTATACTCTCTCTCTTTTTATTTATCTTACAATGGGAGTTGAGGCATTTTGGGTTCAAATGGTGTTTGAGGAACTAATGCTTTGAGATGCTTGTCTTAGGAAATATTTCTTCTTATCTTAAACAAAATCTTCCTGAGTTGTATTGGGGCATCTTCAAGTGCTGCACTGGTGTAAGCCTTGATTGTGTAATTAATATCTTGGATTTTGTTTCTTTACCTGCTAAATCTTACTTTTAACTTAAGAAATGCTAATGTCGAAAGCTTATTCTTGTGAACACTATACACATTGTAGGAATTCTCTCCAGGTTCTAATGGCCGAATGACCACAATGGGTGTTTATGTGCGCGACTTGCTTCTTGGTCAGGTAAGGTGCTATGCTTTGCCTTCGATTTGTTGGACAAGTTAAACTGCATGTGTTTTCTCCAAGTTTATCCCTTTTTCATGCAAATCCTCCTTGTAATATACATTGTCAGTTAGCATGTATATTTGGCATTTGAGACACATTCCTCTTAACAAACTTTATGTTTGGCATGGTGCGGCTTGGTAATTATATAATCATTTCTATTATGCTTATCTTATAGATATTTATCATTTAATCATCTGTATATCTTTTTTCTATTAACTTGATAGATATCTTTGGATATTACAGTAATCCACTAGCTTTTCTCCCTTTTGCGTAATCAACTTTATTCTCTGCATTGCTTAGTGCAACCTATTGATTGAGATCTTTAGCCTTATTATGCCAACCCATTTGGTTTGACATCTAATGTATTCAGTTTGAAACGGCACTATATTTAGGGATAAACACTTGATCTATGTAATATTTCGATTTTACTCATCGAATAAGCAATTAAGCTTAGCCTATGCTTGTCTCATGTTTATAATCTGTTTATAAATACTCAGGTCACTTTTTAACCACACATTTTTAGTGACTCGCAAATACTACTGACTTATCCACTATTCATTTCTATTTATTCATAATTTAAACATTTTACAAAACACTTCCCAAACATGCTTTTAATTATACTCACTCTCTCTCTCCAAAATGAAACCCCGTAGTCTTGAGCATTGGAATCACAACTGATCGACTAAAAATGATCACCCAGTAACCTCCCACAACATCCGGGTAACGAGAAGGACTGAAACAGTGTAGAGCATTAGGAACTCTTTTCAACTAATCATTCTTGTTCTCAAGTGCATATCCTTCTCACTTTAGAAATTTTTTGATCTCTCTAAGAATTGGGCTGTAAGTTGTCCTGGTATGTTATTACAAGCCTGGATTACTCTATAGATTTGGAGAGCTACTTTTTTATTTTATGTCCTGGTATGTATATGTTATTACAAGCCTGGATTACTCTATAGGTTTTTTATGTACTTTCCTTCAAGGTTTTCAAAAAGGCTGTTAAAAATTAAAATGGCACCCAATGATGCAGAATTTGACGCAAAGGAAATTAGACAGAAGGGAATAGAGAAGTAGAGAAAAGAAAGGGGAAGGAGAAGGAGAAGGAGAAGAGGAAAAAAAGAAGTTAGAAAAGAGAGAAGATTTTAAGTGGAAAATTATATACTAATCTTAACTTATCTACCAAGACCTATATTAAATCAGATTCTATATTTAATCCTATTTCTCCTAGAATCCTCATCAAACATCTGCCCATAATATGTACCTCCTGCAATATTTGATGTTTTTATAGTTCTCTTGCTATTGAAATCTCCCTTTACCAAAATTCCTTTGTGTATAGGAAGTGATGAGCGGAGTTCATTATGATGTTTAGGAGCCATTTATTATGGTTTAGGGATGAGCTTGTTTGTGTTATTGGATGGAATGGCAGATAATGATTAGGTTATCCTTGTGGTTTATCTTTTAGATTATGGTTAAGGTATGCTATTATCATTGCATATGCTAAAGAATGTTCTAATAGTTAGATGCAAATATGTCTTCATGCCATTATCTTCTGCACTTTCATATAACTCAGAAATTTGTTTCTGACTGCAGTATTACTTTGACACACTTTTCCCCCGCATCCCAGTTCCTGTAATGCGAACTATTGTATCCAATCTTGAAAATATGAAGCTACCTACTAAACATTTTGGTGTTACTGGTGAGACTACCCGTGGATCTGAGGAAACGGCCCGGAGGCCACCTTCCGTCAAAGCTTCTCTTTCTGTTTCCTTCGGTCAACGTGCTCCTCATCGTGCAACAACGAGGGATTCATCTCCTGTTCGCCGTACGCTGCCATCATCTTCTTATGATAGGGAAGGCGATTCAAGACAGTCCCCAAGTGTTCGTAGAAGCCAGAGCCATGATTTATCCGATCGAGAATATTCAGACAGGGATAGAAGCAGGGAAAGAGGGGAGAGGGACAGAGAGAGGGATAGGAATAGGGACAGGGACAGGGATTATTCCCGCGACCGAGATAGAGATCGAGATCTAGGTAGGGACAGAGATAGAGACAGAGACAGGGAAAGGGAGAGAGACCGAGAACGTGGAAGAGACAGAGATTGGGGGTATGATTACGATAGAAGGCCCAGAGATAGCTATAGAAGGGATTATGAGAGGAGCAGCCGTGATGATGATCGTTACACAAGAGAAGGTAGTTCTCGTCGGAGTCGAAGCCGTAGCAGAAGCAGGAGTCAAATCATTCACGAACGAAGTCGTTTGAGTCCTGCTAGAGATGTAAACAAAGAAAGGACATCTGCATCCAGTAATTTGGCCAAGCTTAAAGATCTATATGGCGATGTGAGCAACCAAAAAGATAACGTAAGCAAAGATAGTGGACCTAACGGGCCTAGTGGTACTGAGGAAGTGATCAGAATTGGTGGTTCCTCTTGGAGGTAATTTTTTTTCATAATTTGAAACTAAGCACGGGATGAATTTGTTATTCAGATCTTTGACTACATCTCGTATCTGATATAGACTACCTTCTTCTGTTCATTTTTGCATACGAAGCTGGATATCCATGTGGACATTATCTATGCTCACCATCTTTGGTGAGATGCATGTATATTAGTAGACAATTTCAGTAGATAAATAGCAATTTTCATCTCTTTTTATTGGTGTAAGATGATATTGAACAATTGAAAAAACGTCCAAGTCAGAGAGTTGGGCTGCTACTAGCAGTTGAACCGCATCCTAAGTTGTTACGGATGCTTATAGCCTGAGGTTGCACGTCTTCTTGGACAACGGGGCTTCCTTGGCGAGGTTGCCTCCAAGTATCACTTGTTGATTTAAGGTGCAGTTATTTCATTGTATGACACTTTTAATAGGTTCATTAATTCGTAGCAGTTTCATATTGTCTATACGCTTTTATGGAGTACATTGGTGTGAATGTCTTATTGTTGTGTTGGTTTCTATACATGGTTGTACCGAACTCCGTAGCCTGACCTCGAGTATCATTGTCACAAGTTTCAACCCATCTCACTCAGCCTTCTATGGCAACCTTCTTGCTTGATAATACGTGTAGATTACCCCTAATAACTTGGAGCTCGATTGTTACCTGTTGTCCGAACTTTCGGGTGAAGCTAATGCTCTTACCCTAAACATTTGACTTAAGAGCATGTTTGTGAGAGAATTACGGGTCTATCTCCTTATAAGTCAACCCAAACATGCTTATTAACTACGATTGAGATCCATTGGCACGTTGGCTTCGTAAGTTAGTTAATGTCAACTCATTTTTGTGTACAACTACGTATCGTGTTAAAAAGTCAACGAATTTATGAAGAGTAGTTGTCTGTATGTCTTGCAATAAGAGTAATTAATTTACATTCAATTGTGGTACGAGTCTGTGCACATGTAAACAAAAGATGTGGCAAAATAGTTGCACTAAAATACAGACCATGATATTAAACCTCGTTCATGACACGCGAGCTGTCCAACACTGTGGTCGTTCACAGTTAATTCCTCCTAACAACCACCACGCAACTTGGCCAATTGATTACTCATGGCCATGCCGTGGCCAGGCTTAGGCCAACTCACCTGAATCAAGATACCTAGGTACCCGGAGACGAGAAAGGACATGGTAATCGAAGTCGAACTCGAGTTTGAAGCCAAACCTTCTTCATGAGGATAGATCCAATGTAAATTTAAATTTCGATTTGTTTGTGGGATTTTGGCAGTTTAGAAAAATATGACGACTTCTCTCTGTTCGAGAATTCATACATGCCTTATTAACATGTATAGACAACTATTTTTCGAGCAAGAGCACATGTTTAGGTTCGACCTCAATGGAAAAGAAGTTGTAGGTTTGATTGTCTCGTGAGATTTAGGCACTCTGAAAAAACACAACTCATCCCTTAATAACATGTATAGATAGCTATCTTTCGAGCAAAAGCACATGTTTAGATTCGACCTTAATGAGAGAAGAAAATGAAGCTCCTACAATGCATCTTCAAGGCACTAGGTACTCAGAGACAAGAAAATAACATAATAATCAACAAAATGCTTCTATAAACAATAATATCAACTCTTATTCCTATTTTGACAATTTTCATTTCCGGGATTTTAGAACCGGACCTTTGCTCACTGCTACAGGCACGTGCTTTTCTCGTCGCTGCAGCCGTTGTCGATGCCCAAAACTTCTATTTTGCACCACATCATGTCTTGAACCACAAATCACTGAATGCCCAAACCAAAAGTACCCTTTTGATATTTCTTTCATCTTCTTCTGCTTACTCTTCATTCCAATCCCGCTGCCACTTTCTCCGACCGCCACCACAGTTCCCTTTTCGTCTGAATCACCGGCATAAAGCCTGCCGTAGTGCTGAGCATGACTAGACTCTATATACGAATCTAGTTGCCTTGATATCCTCTCTATCTCGTACTTATCAAGAAGGGAATTATTAAAAACACTTAATGCTGAACCAGATGAATCTGTAGTTTCTTGAACTTGTTTAATGGCTTGTAACTTGTACCTTGATGGTTTTGGAACGTTCGTAAACCTCGTAAGATCAAATTCACACATAGGTTTCCCATCGGAGCCGGAGCCATGTTGGAACCATGCCCATGCAGCTGCTTTAACTAAAGACAATTCATCGACACTAGCTCTAAGGTTTTGCTTTTCCATGGAAGTGCTGTTGATGAGTTAAGATGGAATATGTGGGAAAATGAAGTTACACGCTCTGGTTTTGAAAGTTTCTTCTTTATGTTACCCTTGTGAGGGTAGGGGTGGGTGTTGAAAAGGTTGTTTTCATTCTAACATCAGATTTGAATGGTCATTTAAATCTGTGGGTCTATAGGAGCTTGGGGTTAGGTAGATTTGAGAATTAGAGAGGTTATGGTCTTGTGGAGATCAAATACACAAATTTATGGTTTTTTTTTTTGTTTAAGATTAGACCTAATTCCACTTATTTACTACGCATTTCTAAAGTATGGAAAGGGGTACAAAATTGTTCTCACATCTAATCTTACATACTCGTAATTGAACTCAAAAAACTATTTAATATAATAAGAATACTCGGGTGACTTGATACGGAAACTTGATTTCCACGGAACTTGACACACAACTATCCTATCCAAGTTTGTTAAGACTTTGATCGCAACCAAATTAGATTTTTGTATCAAAATTAGTGTTTAGTCCACCAAAAAAGGGTGCATTTATGATGTAAAAAGAAAGATGTGGATTTTCGGGTTTGGAGATCATCGAAGATTATTGACTTTAACTTCAATTTTTATCAACTTTCTATGCTACGACAAACAAGGACACAATAACAAAGTAAAATTAGTCTCCTTGTTGTCCTGTTAAATATCCATGGATCCTTATAAATTATATTAAAAAACTTTTAAATAATAAAAAATGATAAAATTCTCTGTCATGATAAATTCTGTCATACAATGCTGACTGAACCGAATTAAAGAAAACAAGTACTAACAAAATTTATCAATTATTTTATCGAATTTTATTAGTATAATGTTTTAAGATATTAATTTATAGGTTATATTTTGTCGTTGTCATTGTCATTGTCATTCATTCATATTTACTTCTTTTTTCTAATACTATATTTCTCAACTATAATATTAATTTTTTTTGAAAACAAATATAATATTATTTTTACATAATCCTATGATTTTTTAATTGTATTAATGGACAAATTTGAAACGGCAAATTGTTTTATCGTCGTGTCAAGAGCATGAAAGAGATGTAATAAATAATTTAATTTTCCAACCTATTTGTAATTGTCATTGGAATTAAGTTGGTGGGATTTAGGTCAACTAATCTATTTAATTTGATATTCGGGTGGCTACATAGTACCCGCTACTTTTTTTTTTTTCAATGCCACAAAATTATACTAGAGTCTTTAATCTTTATTTATTATTAACTTATATCTTGATTTTTTTTAAATGAGATTTTTATCATTTATCTTCCATTAATTTGTAAATCTATACTTGATAATTATTCATACCCAAGTATTTTTGGTAGCGTTCTTTAAATAAGTGGCAAATATTATGTTGCATTTTTGTTTATGTTATTTTTCTAAATTAAAAATATGATAGCAAATAAATCTTTTTATATCCTTCTAATGACTTTTTGGATGAAAATGACCGTATGTGCTAATTAATGGAAAGTAGAAAAAGTTGAAGGCATGTGTAAAAAAATAATAAAGATTAAATTCTTTTAATGCAATTAAAAAATGATGAAACTAAAAAAAAAAATGTATGGTGATAACATAAGAGAGTTGTTATAAATTAGAGAGAAAAAAAAAGTATAAAAGAGAGAAATCAATAAACTTGTGTGTTTTATTAAAAATCAAAACTCTGTATTTATAGAGAATGATTAGTAATACAATGGTAATAATTTCTATGACTGTATGGGTGCAATTATCATTCACTGATAAACTTAATATTTACAACACTTCCTCTTGAATACACATTACAAAATATCTGTCTTGTTAAAACCTTGTTCAGAAAGTTCAGTGGGAGAAAATTTAATCGAAGGAAAAATAGTACAGCTGCTCCTCTGATTTCAATTTTTGTATCAATTCATCCTATCTTATACGTCAATGTCTTCAAATAACACAGTCTTCATGCTAGATATTTATCGACCATTGATGATTGTAGTAACATAATTATCAGAAAAATAGTTCTTGTAGATCTCTTCGAGAGTTTTATACATATAATATTATTATTTTGAGGGTAAATGTCTTGTATATTATGGACATTCATTATCCAAAAAATGTCTCAAATGTTGTCTCATTAAAAATATTGTCAGAAAAATCCAATGAAACAAAACATTGATCAAGAGAAAAAGAGTACAATTTTATTCCATTTCATGATAATATCACTTGAATTATGTTTCAAGCATATTAAACCATTCCAGGATAGTATCAAAACCATACAAGATAAATTGTCTATAATCACATTTATTACATGCATATCAAATTTCATGTATTGTCACACTAATGAAATAGAGACTTGTGATTTCATCTACTACATGATAATTTATTTATTTATACAAGTCTTTGTAAAATTCATTATGTAACGAGTCAAACATTTCATATTGCGACTTTATTTTTTTATTTTTATTTTTATTTCGCATAAGTATACACTTTTAGGTGTTCAGGCTGTAGATCCAAAAACTTCAGATTTCTCTATTAAGATTAATTTTTCTAGAATCGCATCTAGAAACTTCAGATTTTTCTAGTAAATTCAATTTTAGTATGATTGTGTCATTTTATTTGGCTAATCATTATTTTGATCGATATGTTTTAACGAATTAATTTCGATTCTTCACTATTCATAATATGATGCAGTACATCATGTGCAAAAGTGTTGTCAACAACTTTTTATTTTTCGATTTTATTTTTTCTCATATGATATAACTTATTAAGATATCTCAATTTTCATTATTTCAGATATCAAAATCTCCTTTGGGGTTTAATATGTTATGTCTAAATATCCATCAAGAGTATATGCCTCCTTAATGGACCATCTTTGCTAATTGCTTCATTTTTGTTTGGAGATTTTATTTTAAAATCGAATATTATCATTCTTCAGACGTGCCATAAATTTATTAAATATAATAAAACTAATTGTCCTAAAGGACATTAATTCAAGTTGAAGCATTTAAATCTCATGTGTGAGATATTATTGATTTATTTGATCAATAAATGCATTTAAATGAATTATCTTTCGAACTTATAATTCGAATAATCTTTTGCGAGTATTTAGATGATGATACATTTGTACATTATTTTTCAACTTCTTAATTCCCCTCTAATGTTGAGAGAATTGTCCAATCAAAATTGACAATCAACAAACCACATTATAAAATATCACCCACTTGGGATAATGGTTCAAACTAACTTAGTGCATTGCGGTGAATTAGTATTACATATACTACACTAACAGAATAACTAGATGGAAAACTTAGGCTATGACCATAAACCAATTATGGGGGTTTTTTGGGCTCGATTTTTGCTGATTCCTGGTGTTTTGTGTCTGAAGGTTGGTTGGAGGTTGTAGAAGGGAGTGGGGCAAGACTTGTGGTGGTCGGATCTGGTGGTCTTGGCCGAAAGGTGGTGATTCGAGGCTCCAAAGGTGGCACTTAATAGCAAGAAATTTGCACTAGAGGTGGTCAAGCTTCTATGTCCAGGTGTTTTGGTCATTTAAGTTTGACTCAAAATAATAACGGTCCTTCAATGATCTTTTGTGAAACAAATTAAAACTTCAGTGACCGTTTGTGAAAGTTTTAAACTTTAGTAATCATTTTGTAAATTTTAGGTAAGTTTAGTGACCGTTTATAAAATTTACCCTTTTGAAATAAAAGTACAATTTTTCCAAACTTTAGTGCATGTTTGGCAAGCTTAACCATTTTTTTTAACTTGTTAAAAATACTTTTTATTCACAGATTTTTTAGTACCCACAACTTGCTACGACGTAATGCCTATTTGACGGGATTTTTTAAAACCCAAAAACTGCTTTTGAACATCTATAGAAACTTTTTTGAAAATATTTTATCTGATTAGAAAAACTTTTAAATGAAACCGACTTAAAGTAGCTTCCTCAAGAAGCTCTTCTACAAGAAAGAGAAGTAGAAGCCGAAGCCCTATCAAACGAACATTTATTATCCACACATTCCATAAGTCCCACAACTTATACAAATATGCTACATGTACAAAGTTGGTTGACAAAATAACATCTACACTAATCATTTTAAAAACAGATTTTTAAATCATTTGAAATCAATGTTCTGGATTTTGCCAACACACTTTGTAACCCAACTTTTGTAACTCAACTTTGTACAAATAGATTTATTGCAACTTATACACACTTAAAAGTAAACATAGTAATACAATGTTCTAAAACGTATTGAATGAGAAACAGTAGTTGGGATACATCTATTCACGAGATAGAATCAAAGAAAAAAAATAAAAAATAAATTTATACAATGAAGTCCAATACTCCGTACTACTGAATCTTCCACAACCAGATTCCAGTTCAAGTGAAACCTCTTCATGATATTACGAGTCATCAACTAGCAAATTTCTCATTTGAGATTCATCTAGGTTCATTCTTCCATTCAAATTTCAGATGTAGATTATATAGTTGCTGAAAACCCAAAATTTGATGTGGATCATTACACCTTCAGCAAAGCGGCTTTTTCAGACTGCAAATGCTATCAACGAACATCCATACAGCTGCCATTTCAAATTTCGCGTCTTCTACTTTTTGAAATTTCAACTTCGACGTGCTTAATTTCATCATTTAGTTCTTCCAGTGAATTTTTGTTCGTTTTCATGTGACTGATCATCAAATTAGATAGATGCCTTAAACATGAGAGATACTCAGCTTTTACTTCGGGATGATCAGATAAATACCGCACAGATCCAAACTGCAGAAATGGAAAGTACTCAGCTTAACTGACAAATCAAGAAAATTTGAAATATTGAAAACACGGTCCTATGCAAACGTGAACAAAATAAACGAGCAAAACAGCCTAGTTCTAGTTATATGATAACATAATAACATGTTAAGCACACAAACCGTCCAAAGAAACGGAGGCAACTAGCAATTTTGCATAATTCAAACTCCATGTACCTCCTTAAAAACAGAAATGCACTGTCGAAGCGCAGAATCGGCCTCGACTTGATGTTCCTCCTGAATAAATAAAGAAACATGAAAACTTGTCTTCTTGTATTCATAGTTGAAATCATGACATAAATTTGAAGAACACAAACCAACATCAATTACTAGAATGGAAAAACAATCAATGCTCTTATCATGAAGATCTCTAAATGTTAATAAATGTAGCAAGAACCATCATGCTCCACATCTCACTCTCTAGCTATCGTTTTCCATTAGGGATTCCACTATGTACATCTATAACATTTCATTTGTAAGCTAAACAAAGCACCATGAAGGAGATATTCTTCTACAGAAAACACCGAAAATCAGTGATAACTTTCCTTCTACTTCACCAATTGCACAAGGTTTCAAATTCTCTTATTCATTCCTTTCTCCTCTTTCAATCAATCAATCAATCAATCAAAGTCTTATAATCTTCCCATTATTAGGAAGCAATCACCATTATGCACTGCAGGGAAATACAAGACAATTTTGGAACAAATGATATTTAGTTCTTTAGGCAACACACACACACACAAAAAAGCTCCATATGACCAACAATAGAAATTAAAGGCCATAATAGCTTATAAGTTTCAGCCACCTATGTGGCTTTAGCACCTCGAAAAAAGTATACATGGCCTAAGAACATTGAACAGATTCTGGGAAAAGAAGAGAAGAAGAGAAAAAATGTCCTTCCAACACTGTTTACAAGTGATACCAGACTGATGATCTCTGAAAAAATATGAACTCTATATAGTCGCTTTTCTATGGATGAGCACGGTTATATAAATAGTGAAAATAGTCAATACTGACCCTGGACTCCTGTATTTCCAGCTTCGTCATCTCCAACATCCCAAGAGCATTAAGTGATTGCAGCTACAACAACATTTAGGAACAATTAAAACCAAATTAGGACATCTTTTACTACATCTAGGTTTAAAAATATTGAGTAACCAAATATTGATCATGAGTATTATGTCTCAGTCAATTTACAGACATGTATATCACATCAGTTTTGAACCAATTAAGCATTGTTAAATCCAAGTTTATAAACAAATTGCATGGTCTCAACTAGTGAGTGAAGTGATTATTGGAATCTGAATGTTAATTATTTTGTAAGCTTTATTTATGCATCAATTATCTCATTCAACTAGTTCAAGCATTCACTTTCATTGCCATTTACAGAGGAAATCGACGTCTGCAATTTTCAGTGCTTGTAGAAGATCGAGCAAAAGGTGAAAGATCTCTTATTTTATATTTTCATTTTTAGGTTTATGCCTTTCTCCATTTCAGAAAGATTGAGCAGCTACCTCAATTTTTTTTTCTTACAAGTCTTTGAGACATCTCGTTCCCTCTTTTAAATTTCATATTAGCATCCTTGGAGGTAAAAGAAACTCTTATCTTCAATTGACTGGATTGGACGATAGTTACCAATGTTTTAATTCAAACAGAATGTTACTATTATGGAACTATATAAGAAACCAATAATGATATGATGTTTTTATTAAAACGCACCAACTTAAGAGGAGGCAGAAGCAAAAAAAAATTGAAGAACTGAGTCAAATAAATTGGACTTCTTTCACGAAAAAAGAACACTTCAGTTATTTCATGCCGACACCAAATAATGAGTGGAAACTAGGATTCTCTAGCCTTTTTACTGACAGATAAACAACCACCCAAATTGACAATACAAGAGCATTCATGTCATAAATGAAAATTATGTCTCAGCCATAAATTTCATTCTAGTCTTGAGGCAAGATACTCTTTAAGAAAAACGTGAAAATAGTCAAACATTGATATATTTTTTAATATGGTTCTATACTTAAAAAAAAAAAAAAATACTGGAAAAATTTGACCCTGCACAACTAGCTCATGGAGCTTTATTAATACTAAAAGTAAATAAGGTGATGTATTGCAGATAGTACATCAAATGGAAAAACTGACCAGTATCATCATTGCTACATGCCCATCTTTCCCAGCCTTTCTAGATACTACTGTGAATTCTTCATTTTCTTCCGGTTTCATGTGTCGAATGAGTACTTTCCGAGCAATCCTATTAGTAAAATAGTAATTATGTGAACACAAAAAGTCATATTGACATATAATTACTAGAAATCATAAATAAGCACGTCCTAGTTTATAAATTTGAAGTAGCAGAAACAAGCTAATAACATTTTCATTTAGCTCAGCGGATTTCTAATATTCATTTAGAATCAGTGGCACTGCAACTCCAACTTGCTAAACTCCAGAAGCTGAAGTATTCATATGCAAAATTGAAAGAGACATGCATATTTAGGGGTGGACATGATTCCATTTGGTTCTGATTCCAAGAGAACCGAATCAAACCAAACCATGAACCAATGATTGTTTTGATAATAGAACCAAATGATTCTTTTAAGATAACGAACCAAATTGGAACAGAATCATTCGGTTCTGGTTTGGTTTGGTTCTAGTTTTATTTTTAAACTTTTCAGACTTGCACCATATCCATAAGTTAATAATATATACTTAAATTAAAAAATAAATATCAAATATTCAGTAAGTTAAAATTATCAATCATCAAGATCACAAAAGTCCAAATTAACAAACAAAATATGGCAAATAAATTTTCATTCTCATACAAAAGATTGCCTAATAAGTAATAACAAATTAATTGCACTAGTTTTGCCGTCACACCTAGACGATAAAGGATGAATTATGTAAAACTTTTACTGTCCACTTTTACATGAAACCATTAACCGTTTAATACTCTGTAAATGTTTATTGAATTTTTCTCTATTTGTGAAGAACACAAATAATTCATCAAACAATCAAAGTGAAAATATAGTTTAAAAGTTTTTTAAGTGACTGCCTAATTCTATTTTTCGATCTTGAAAGAGTCTCCTCCACCAACGTGATGAAATATGGTGTAGGCGTGCTGCGGTTTTGTGTAAATTAAAAAGGAGTGAAAGAAATGGGTCGTTACCAATTAATAGAATGTCTTTAATGAATACAAAATTAGGGTTTCCCCTAATTAATATATATAGAAAAATAAAATTAAAAATCAAGTGTGGTTCTAGTTCTGGTTCTTTGTTCTAGAACCAGAACTAGAACTGAACCAGAACCAAATGATTCTTGGTTCGAAGAACCAAAACCATTTTTTTTTTGTAGAACTGAACCAAACCGCTTGACTTAGCTTGGTTCAGTTTGATCTAGACATTTTGTCCACCCCTACGCATATTCTATAGTTCAATCCAAGAATACTACTCAACATGCTTTCAACTTTCCTAATTACATAAATTTCAACAAGCGGCTGGTATATTTCTTACATTCACAAAATATGTTTAAGGTAAAACTAATGTACACATGAGCATTAGAACATGGTATTGCAGATTGCTTCACTGAAACAAAGTTCTCTGGTATACATTAGGACAGAAATACGATGAAATATTTGCATCAGAGATCACAAATTGCCAATTGATTATAAATAAGTGAACAATTATGTCAGGTTAACCTCTTGTTATGTTTGATTGTAACATCCCAATCATGAAAACATGTATTTCTAGAACTAATTATATTGTTGGGGTGTTTCCGCTTTGCAAAAGAAAGCTTCTTATCATTTACCACATCAACACCAACGAACAAGTACGTGATATTTATCGTTACATTATGTCAATTTGAATCCACAAGAAGAAGATACTTTTGGTCCATATTTTCAGAATGTTATAAACAAAGAGATAACATGACGAGCAAGAGAAATTAATTCATAAAATCATGCGCGTTGACAAAGAGTCAAATGGCAAAGTATTCTTCTCGTACAGGGGTTATGTAGATGCCTCCATATACAAAGTCCTTGTAGCTAACAAATAGACATGACTAATTAGAAAATGACAACATTTTGTGTATTTGCCAGTTCCAAGTGCGACGCGACTGAATCAAGGTGTGTCGGGTACCAAGATCCAAAGCCAAAAATGGCATATGTTGACTTTTATTATCGAAACCCAATAGCACTCCTAGTTAAGTCAGCACAAGTTAACTTTTTTGAATGGCCTTCATTCAAAACATTTTTTTTAAAGCAGAGTATGTATGTGGGTGTTTCTGCACAAATACAGACACATCATCTACTGCAACCTTAAAAATAACCACGCACTTACTTAAAACAGATCTTTAATTGAGATCCATTATCAGCAGGTTTGGAACATTGGAAATTTAAAAAGCTACACATAAAAAGTCAATTTTAGTTTTAGAATTGTTGACCCCTAAAAATGTTGCCACAGATGCCGGGCCCACTCGTCCAATGATTGTTTTGATAATAGAACAAAATGATTTTTTTAAGATAATGAACCAAATTGGAACAGAATCATTCGGTTCTGGTTTGGTTTGGTTCTAGTTTTATTTTTAAAATTTTCAGACTTGCACCATATCCATAAGTTAGTAATATATACTTAAATTAAAAAATAAATATCAAATATTCAGTAAGTTAAAATTATCAATCATCAAGATCACAAAAGTCCAAACTAACAAACAAAATATGGCAAATAAATTTTCATTCTCATACAAAGATTGCCTAATAAGTAATAACAAATTAATTGCAGTAGTTTTGCCGTCACACCTAGACAATAAAGGATGAATTATGTAGAACTTTTACTGTCCACTTTTACAGGAAACCATTAACCGTTTAATACTCCATAAATGTTTATTGAATTTTTCTCTATTTGTGAAGAACACAAATAATTCATCAAACAATCAAAGTGAAAATATAGTTTAAAAGTTTTTTAAGTGACTGACTAATTCCATTTTTCGATCTTGAAAGAGTCTCCTCCACCAACGTGATGAAATATGGTGTAGGCGTGCTGCGGTTTCGTGTAAATTAAAAAGGAGTGAAAGAAATGGGTCGTTACCAATTAATGGAATGTCTTCAATGAATACAAAATTAGGGTTTCCCCTAATTAATATATATAGAAAAATAAAATTAAAAATCAAGTTTGGTTCTAGTTCTGGTTCTTTGTTCTAGAACTAGAACTGAACCAGAACCAAATGATTCTTGGTTCGAAGAACCAAAACCATTATTTTTTTTCGTAGAACTGAACCAAACCGCTTGACTTAGCTTGGTTCGGTTTGATCTAGACATTTTGTCCACCCCTATGCATATTCTATAGTTCAATCCAAGAATACTATTCAACATGCTTTCAACTTTCCTAATTACATAAATTTCAACAAGCGGCTGGTATATTTCTTACATTCACAAAATATGTTTAAGGTAAAACTAACGTACACATGAGCATTAGAACATGGTATTGCAGATTGCTTCACTGAAACAAAGTTCTCTGGTATACATCAGGACAGAAATACGATGAAATGTTTGCATCAGAGATCATAAATTGCCAATTGATTATAAATAAGCGAACAATTATGTCAGGTTAACCTCTTGTTATGTTTGACTGTAACATCCCAATCATGAAAACATGTATTTCTAGAACTAATTATATTGTTGGGGTGTTTCCGCTTCGCAAAAGAAAGCTTCTTATCATTTACCACATCAACACCAACGAACAAGTACGTGATATCTGTCGTTACATTATGTCAATTTGAATCCACAAGAAGAAGATACTTTTGGTCCATATTTTCAGAATGTTATAAACAAAGAGATAACATGACGAACAAGAGAAATTAATTCATAAAATCATGCGCGTTGACAAAGAGTCAAATGGCAAAGTATTCTTCTCGTACAGGGGTTATGTAGATGCCTCCATATACAAGTCCTTGTAGCTAACAAATAGACATGACTAATTAGAAAATGACAACATTTTGTGTATTTGCCAGTTCCAAGTGCGACGTGACTGAATCAAGGTGTGTCGGGTACCAAGATCCAAAGCCAAAAATGGCATATGTTGACTTTTATTATTGAAACCCAATAGCACTCCTAGTTAAGTCAGCACAAGTTAACTTTTTTGAATGTCCCTCATTCAAAACATTTTTTTTAAAGCAGAGTATGTATGTGGGTGTTTCTGCACAAATACAGGCACATCATCTACTGCAACCTTAAAAATAACCACGCACTTACTTAAAACAGATCTTTAATTGAGATCCATTATCAGCAGGTTTGGAACATTGGAAATTGAAAAAGCTACACATAAAAAGTCAATTTTAGTTTTAGAATCACCAGTGACCAGACACTGTATATCCCAGTGCACAGGTATGTCAATTAGTCTACGTTGCAAGGATTGGATAGATAATTAAATAATTAAGACTTTTACAGAGCTTCAGGGGTAGAACTAGAAGACAGAAGTAAGTCATTGAAAATGAATGTAAAGTTCTTTTGCTTTAGCATTTAATGATCTGTTCACCATATTTAAAATTGAAAAAGCATTAAAAAAAACATATTAAGTTAGATCTTCTGCAGCAAAGCTGCATTTCTTAACGCATAACAGCAAAAAATAATAGTAATTATAACAGAGCCATGTATAATAGTTACCAGACAAACAGAAATCTTTAGGAAAAAGAAAAATGTATGCATGCATTATAAGATACAGAAATAAAGCATATACCACAATCAACCTTATGGAATTGCCCAAAAGATCTTTCGCCAGATCAAGCTCATCCATTGCTTGAGAACTATTCGTCTTCCTTAGCTGGCTTGAGTTGAGCATTTTTAGTCTAGCAATATGAAGCATGTTTGCAGCATTCTGTTAATCAAGAAATACAGAATCTCTTATCAGAAACACGAGGAATCCCTACACAAAATGGCAATAAAGGGAAAAATAAAAAACGACAAACAAAGAGTCAATTGCTCTCTTCTTCTTAACTACCCAAGATATTTATACCTACATAGCTGGTTATGGCGGGTTCAAATATGTAGGATTATGGACTCCTAAAAGAGTTAGTACGGAGCAGGATGTCAAATTCTATTTAAGGGTTGAAAAAAGCAGCTGTGGCTACATGTTAACACAGCTACAGCAGGAGAATATTTCAAAAGAAAGAGACACATAAGATGAAACACATATTCAAATGCTGAGACAAGGTCAGGAACCTGAATATGCTCTTCCGGAAGCAAGACTTTTCGGGCATCAAGACATCTGGCAAAAGCAGCACCATCTTATCGTTCAGCAGGAAGCATACAATTTTCTACCTTCTAAAGTTATTAACTAATAATGCACCTCTGTAACAGAACTGCTGCTTCCCTTAACTGTCCTACTGATTGGAGGGTCAGTGCAAGGCGTTCAGCTGCAACAACAGTGTCTAAAGATTTCCATCCCTGTTACATAAAAGTGTTATTGAACTTGTTATAACAAAAAGTAACCATAGAAAAATAAGGAATACCAGAATAAAAACTAATCATAATACTAACAACACAATATAAAAATGTTGCACACTCCAGATAAAACGTATCATGAAAATTAAATATTTCAATAAATGGATAAACGGAGGTTAAATGTAAAAGAAATTGAACATTGTTGCTATTACACAACATCACTGAAGAGAAAATATTTTGATGATATCAGAAAGCCTATGCATAGAATTTTGCAATTTGTTTGCACCAAGCATTACGAAACAGAGCTAACCTCAATCAATAGAAGCTTGTTGAAGTTAAGATTTAAATGATATATACATGGCCATCTCTAACACCTTAAGCCTTAAGCTTTTAGATCAAGTGGTTCAATATGGTATAGGAGAAGGCAAAGGTCCTGGGTCAATTCTCAATGCTCCCCTAATTTTCTTTTGTAAACTCTAAGGAAAAAAGGAATCCCTCTTGCACGTGAGGGCGCATGACCGTATCATAAATTAGATTAACATCCATAAACAGAAGAACAAGGAAACTTAAATGCAGCGATGAAAAGTTTTCCAGTAGCTCCAGTAAGCAATAAGACAAGATCACCAAGTTTTACATAATTTGTGCTGTGGACAGCAGAAAAGAAGTTAGTAAGAAGATAGATGGAAAAGGAAATTATAGAAGAAACTAAAAACATATAAAAGGGTGCCACATAAGAGGTCCAGCAAACCACAGTGTGGCTTTGTTTGTAAGGCAATTCATAAAAAGCTATAAAATGTATTGCAGTTAACTTCCCTAATTGAAAAGTGAAGGGAGGGAGGACAACGGCCGAAGACAAGAATTAAATGATATATACATGTGGTCCTTTCTAACAGCTTAAACTTTTAGATCAAATAGTTCAACATGGTATGACAACAACAAAGGATCATGACTTAAAGTCTCATCGCCACCCATTTAATAAAATTGTGCATGTGTCAAGTTTTAATGAAGAAGTATGAAAACCGCCAATGCTCGAGAGGGGTATTGAAGACAAAATTTAAATGATAAACATGTGGCCATCTTTGCTATTAGTGTGGTTCAGCAGTGGCATTCCTAGCAAAGATGACTTTGCTAGGTTTTCGTTCTAGATATGCAATGTCAAACTGACCATTTAAATACATTTTAGTAATTTCTAGAGAGCTATTCTAGAGGAATAACTCCAAATTGATAATTTATTAATACTAAAAAAATTGAAAGCTAATATAATTGTAATAGAGATGGTAAAAATGATGGTAAACCTTTAATAGCTCCACTATATGCAGGATCTTTCTCAGCAAAATCTCCGCATCAGTAAATCGATTGGACTTGGTGTATATCTATAATCAATAGCAATATGAACATGATATAAATTGAGAATCTAAGAGAAACCTAAATAGAAAACAAGAATATAAGAGAAACTTTGAGTAAAGATAAACATAACCATGATTACCGCAAGAAAATGATGGCCAAAGAGAATTTTAGAACTTAAATATAAGCCCAAAAAGCTTTTCCATGTCTCGCATTTTCAACAAACAAAGAACAGGAGCCTTTCCAACTCTAATGTTTTCCAGTGGATCTTTTTCAACAAAAAATCAGTATGACATGCCATAACATGGATACTTGCTCTGATGGAAACCTTTGTCACAAAGTAGATCAGATAGACCGTTTCTATTACTTTTTTCAAGAGCATATTCCTTCTAAACTTATGCATTACCATAAGAGCAAAGAAAGATGATGACTAAGGAGGTATTTTAACTTCAAACATAAGCTCAAAAATTTTATTGGCCATGCTGTCTCACATTCTCAAAAAGCTAAAGGTACGAGCTTTCTCGACTCGTATAATGTTCACAGTTGATAATTTTTCCATCGAAAATTCGTTATCAAGCAAATTTTAATTGCCATAAAATGAGTATTGTGCGACGGATGCAAATGCAGATACTTCAATTCTATACCTTGTATTATTTTTTCCCCCTTTTTTGGTTAAATACCAAATCTGCTTCAGCCCTTATAATCAGGAAAGAAAGAATCATACGATAATTGAACTATGAAGAATCATACGATAATTGAACTATGTGCATATAAGAAAGGAAATGCAGATCAATTAAATTTTCTTACACATATGAATGACAACTTCAATATGGCTAAAGATGTCAACCACAAACCTGAGCAAGATATTGCAATCTCCGGATACATAAGATGGATTCCCCTTGCCCACCATCCTACATGATCAATGCCAAGCAGTAAGATATCTAGAGTAAATATGACAAATCAATCAGCATTCTTCTTGGAATCATACTGATGTACCTCCAAAATTCGAATAGAATCCAATATTAGGTCCTCAGAGTCCTCTTTCCCTTGGAGATACAAAACCTGTAAGTTGGCATCTTTTATGTCATTAAGATAAATTTCAGTGAACAACCAAACAACAATAAATCACCCACACTGAGAGAAAATACAAGCATGAGGATAAAATTGAGGAACCTCACTTTGTTATTCATGATAAATTCATGTCACCATGTTCTTGTAAGTAAACTTCCACGCAAACATATGTATGAATGACATGATCCTAATGTTAAATAAGTAAGAAAGGACGAGAGAATTCAATATAAAATTGAGAAACAAAATTTTTAATCTTATTGTAAAAGAATGCGCAGAAAAAAACTATTATAACTTTTTAAATCCACATGTTCACCGACCAATCCGAAGAACGAGAAGATAGAAATAAGACTTGGAGAAGAGAGAAAAGACTTGAGAGGAATACAGAAAATCGTTAAATAAATTAATCAGAGATTTAGCATGTTATTGAATAGATTAATCAAGGATATGGTATCCTAAGAATGATAGTTACAGAAGATTGCAGGATCCAGTACAAAGATATCTTTTAAGGGAAATAAAAGAAGATTTCTCATGGATGTTGATTTCAGGCTAAGTTTTCTAACTTCTTGGTACAGCTTAATAGTTCATAGCAAAAGGAGAACTTTCATAAGTACTCAAACACCTAGAAATACCATCATTTTCACCATGACGAATAACTTCATACTAATTCTTGGGACAAGATCCATGAACATTACAGTTGAAGGACTCATATCTCACGGTACAACACTGAAAGAGTAAATTGCACATGAATAGTATTGACATGAAAAGAAAAACAAAAAAAAAAAACGTGATTCACAATTTCACATACATGGATCAGTCATGGCTTGATTTAATAGAATTAGAACAAACAACGTAAATGAGAAGCTATAAGTGATTTTGTTCTCTCATACAAAGCAACCAAGTTGTGTGGGTAAAATACTAGAATTACAGGAGATTTCAAGGTTATTCACCAAGGTTATCAGTCAAAATCAGGTTGCAGGAGGAAAAGTTGAAGTTCCTAGCAATCTGAAGTAGCTAAACAACTATGAAAAGAAGTGATTGGAAGTTTCATCATCTATATCAGAAAAAAGGGTCCGGATCTCCTGCTGGAATGTTTGGAAGATCCAAAACCAGAAAAGTGGTATTTACTAGCAACAACACAATGAAGGCAGTCATATATATAGATTGATCCATAATTTTCATCTATATCATCTACGTCAACATTTTGTTTTCCTCAAGTATGGACGCAAATTAAGAAGAATGATATAGAGTCTACATAAAATATGCAAGTGGTTCTTGTTAAGTGAACAGTAGCACTTTGTGCCTAATCTTCATTAATCAAGTGGAATTGCTAAACTTGCTGCTTTCCTGTGTTCTCTGAATCTGTTAATTAAAAGGAGATTGAGTTGTAAAAACTTAAGGAATGCCAGGCCCCTTTTCTTGTTCCGACAAATTATTCCCCTTTAATAGTTAAAATGTATTTTGGAAGCAAATTGTGCAAAGGCTGCTAATTTCTGCAACAATATGTAATACAGACAATTGCCTATAACATAGTTCATATTATACCAAAAACCTGAACCACATCCAATCAGATAAATCAACAATTTTATTGTACATGAGGATGTCCAAAATTTGTTGCCAAGTGCTAATTTAGAAAGTCGTAAATGTTACCAGAAATGGTAAAAAGAAAAAAATAACATATTTATGGCAGTTCATAAAATTAAAAGTTCACATTTCGTTCGTACCTGTTTAGCATCATAAGCATTTCCAGACCAATTAGTCAATTTGTACCGAAGTGTTCATTGCATGTCAGAACAGAAAAACAGAAGATCATGTCAAGTACCCAAAATGAAGGGAAAACGTTTAACAATTCCAAAAAAAAAATGAATTTCAGAAACATTGAGAAAATTTCCAGCCTTACAGTTCCAAGATGATAGATTGTATCGGCATAGTCTGGGTGGGCCTCACCTAAAACACGTCGCTTTATCTAACAGTCAGAAATGATAGTAAGACTAACAGTTAAATGTCTGATAACCATTCACTGAAGATAGAAGTGAGGTGTCATGGTTACCACATACCTTTAGAGAACGCTGCCAGAAATTTGGAGAAAGAGAAAACTCATTGTAGTATCAGGTGGACAAATTGCGACGATTTGCATAAGAAAAATGGGAGTGAGTATTGCATGCACTGGCAGTGTATACGAAAACAGCTTAAATATTGCAATTTAATTAGCAGTTATTGCTTTGTGGCAAGTGGTAACTAATAGAGGGATGGATAGGATTCTCAAACATGACCCAATCCTGTGACTCAAACATATGTTCGGACATTAAAACAAGTTTAAACTTTTTAAAAAAATACAGTGAAAAGAATGCTTCGTGTCTACCATAATCACCTTCACTGGAATATAGAGTAACAGCTGAAATTTATTTAACCAAGACAAGTTATCAAAGCTGTCTTTTATTAAAGTTGAAATACATTCTTCAAATATTTATATACATTAAAAAATAGTTTTACAGTCTCTAATAGACTCCTTTCCTGCAAATCTTTTACAACTTAGAAATCAAGTAGTCAAGACTCAAGTTCCTTACAAATCAAGTTGGAACCCCAGTATGCCTTTCAAGTTCAGATATCCAAGGAACTTTTTAACTTGGAAGTCATCAATTTTCCTAGTTGTGATACGATTACAAACCACGATTCGCAATAACTCTTAATTATTCTATGATTTTCCATCTACCATAATTAATAGACCTTCGGTAACTTATATCTACAGATGTCCATGAATAAAGACATTAAGCAGACTACTGAACCAGCAACATGCAAACGCATCTAAAAGACTCATCCCAAGATTCCTTCAATTCTCCAGTCTCCAAGTTTCTACTCCAATTATATACTACAAAAAGGCATTAAATGCACTTTTACATCGATCTCCACTCTGTCCTTACATTGATCTCAACCCTGCCCTGTTGTAATTACTTCAATTCTAATGACAAAGCTGATCCACCCCTACAAACTGTCATGCTCTTCTTTTAATCACCTATTTGCGTGAAGCGGATTTGTAGATGGCAACATAGTAGGATATCAGAATAGAGTCTTAGCAGTCTACAGAAACAGAACTTCATGCGCCTGAATGGAGTCACAAGACTCACAACTGGCCACAATAATCTCAGGAAAAACAAATTTTCCATTTTCATGTAACAAAGTTAAGGTAAGCTTTTTCCTTTATCAACACCATTAAAATCGATGCGGAAGGCCCAGACAGAGAGAGAGAGGCTACAATTTGAAATTGAATCTGAAGTATACAAAGAATAAATCCTAGTCCTACAGCAGGATAATGAAGTGTGACTTAACTACCTGCAAAAGAAAAATCAAACTTTATCTGCCAGAGTATGAGATTCCCAACTAAAGAAGAACTAAGGCCTCATCTGACCCTTAACTTAGATAATATATTTTTCATTTTTCGGTCGATTTCTCATATTTATATTTTTGTCTAAACTCTAGATGAAATTAATTCTATCCTTTATGTCTATGGTCCACTTGTATCAAAAAGATTGATACAGAGAGAAATAGAAGTTACAAGAAAAATCCAAACCCTACCAGCTTTGTTACTTCAAGTAATAGCATTAAATATATGATGTTCTCAGTTTTCAGTTCACAATGTGAAACTTAAAAAAAAAAAAAAGAAGAACAAACTTCTTAGATCAAGTTGAACAAGATATATTTATTGAACAGAGAACTCCAAATGATTAGATTATGTTTTTAAAAAAGAAAAAATATTTTTTCTATTCTTTAGCTTTAGGAAACTAAAATCAATCAGCATGATAGAAGGGGCTTGCATAACCAGTAGATTGACAGTTTGATTAATATCTGGTCACATAAACAAATCTTAATCTACGACATTTAAGCAGAGCTGCAGAGATTAAGAATAGAAAGGTTGGTCTGGCACAAGTTTGTTACGTAATCTTCTGCCCAATGTTGCATATGAATCTTTCTATGTTATACAATTTTCAAAATTCCAAATATTATGAAGAAAACTCTAATGGTTCTATATTTTTTGACCCACTAGGATTCTAAGAGCAACAACTAAAGGATCTATGCAGAAATTCCTTCATTCTACTCTATATCTATATTTATGTGGTGAGACAAAAAAAAAAAAAAAAAAAGAAAGTCCGCATTATATAGCAGATAACCTCCCAAATCTATTCTCCCGGGGATTGAGGAGGAAATACTTCATTTAGAAATCAAATTGAAGTCAACCTAAAACTGGGAAATAGAATCAATTATTGAAATCATTGGAGCTTAACCTATGATATGGTGGTAACAGAAATGCATATACATTCTAATGTGAGTTTTACCTCATAGCAGACGCGAGCTTTTTCTAATTTTCGCTGTACAAGGTAGAATTGACCAAGATTGTGAAGGGCAGCCCCAACTCTTCAACAAAATATAAACAAAGACGTCAAAAGTCAGATTTAAGAGATGTCCATGCTTCATAAGAGATGCCAGATAAGAAACAACAAAACCAAGTGAGAAAAATATGAAAACTAAGTAGCTTACTAACCAAAATTGCTACCCCTTCTCATGAACATGAAATATGCTACTGATATTGTACTTGACAGGAACATAATGCTGCAGGGTACATATTTACTACTTCCATAATTTTGTGATAGCATATAGAGATTATTTTCCATTTATAGCTATTTATTTTCCATATTTTATTTTTTTGTGAAGGTTTGCTTTCTAAATTTTTTCAGCACATAGATTTTAATTCGTTCAGCTTTTCTGTCTCAATAATATTCAGTTCATAGCTTAACATAAATTTCAATATTATTACCGTAACATGTAGAATCTAACAGGACTATTCATGAAGACACAAATTATGAAATGAATTATACAATATTTTTCCAACCTAATGTCATCTCTTCCAAAGAACTCCTCTAGTATATCTATTGCTTCCACATACAGTGGTTCTGCCTTGTCAAATGCCTTTTTCACTCTATAGAGCTCTGCCTGCAAGCAAAATTACAGGTTTCAGTGTCTCCTCATAAACAGCTAGTAACATAGGACAGAAATCTCCACCAAATAAGATCCATAACTATGATACAACTCAATCTTCATGCAATGTGCTGCTACAGTCTTTGACACAAGGAACCCCCTAAAACTTCTAAAAATAGATTTAGAGAAACAATTTAGCTTCATCTAACGAACTAATAATAAGAGTCCATAACCAGAATTAATGGCGTGTATCACCACAGTCGCCCCCCAAAATAAACAGAAGAAAACACACGACTACTAGAAAAAGGGAAAGAAGAAGAGAGGAAATAAAACGAATTCCAGTAAAATGGAAGAGCTTACATGATATAAAATTGATCAGCTCAATCATAGTAAATACAACTAGCCAGAGTTAATATACATTTTGTGAACACAAAACTACCACGAATTAACCATACGAAAACTTATATATTAGAATCATAAAGCGTCTTTTGCAGTGGACCACCAGATTGTTACATGCTGCCGCAACATGTGGATCCCTCTCTCCAAAACCTTCTTTAGCTTCTTGAATTGCAGATAGGAAAAATCTTTCAGCTTGCTCAAGTTTTCCCTAGATGAAATAAGCTAACCATAAGTAAGACAACAAGAAGACAAAATGCTGAAAGAGAAGTCAGAGATAATACCATACACAATAATTGTAAGAATACTACTTGCCTGCATAAAATATTCCCTTCCCTTATCTGTAAAAACTCTCCATTTAGACGTATGTACATTTGATATAACTGAACCATCCTCAATTTCACGTAACCCAGTAATTTCAGCCTCATTTGTAGCATTTTTAGAACTTGATTCAATTGAAACATCTTCAGCTAAAGCAGTTACAGAACTTATTCCCAGGATAGTTACTGTAAACAGAAAAAATAGATAATAGATGCTTCAAAAAATTAGCTTCGACAAAGAATTTCATGACGAAAGACAAAGGAGAATTTTAAATTTTTACCTGAAAGTCAGACCATAGCTGATGAAGGGTTTACAATGAATGTTAAACCAAATACAATATGAACAGATTTTAATGATAGATAACATTAATGGCTACAGAGTATATGTCTAGATATACGAAAACTTCACAAGGAAAACAAGTTACACCAGCACATATTTAAACTTAGAAACAGTGACCTGGAAGATAATCATGTAAACAAAATCTATTTTAGAGTAATTTCCTTGCAAACTTCTTGTGATTTTGTAAGCTCATTAGCCACAAACTTAAAAATAAGAATACTCCCAGTCATAGTGTAGCCGAATAACCACATAACTTAACTGAAAGAATCACACAGAAGTGCTTAAACTTCCGTCGATTAATATTGGATGATACACAATTCCATCAAAGGCTCCTATGATAAAGTAAAAAAAGGGAAAACAAAGACTGAATTGATAAACTCAAACATCGTGGAGAAACAGCTCTGATCAGGCCCTTAATCATGGATGGAGCGAAACATACTAATTCAGGAGTAAACTATTATACTCAAGATATTTGCAAGCTATTCAACCTGCAGCCATTTAACCCCAAACCTCTTTTACAAATAAGATTACTCAGCATTCCATAGGTCCTATTCATCAGGCTCCTTTCCTACTGTTGATTGCGAGCTTTCTTGAAGGAAATTCTATTTGAATACTATAGATTCCATTAAAATCATATGAGAAGACCTATGATATTGACTCGCAACTATACATATCTTGAAAATACAGATACACAAAACTCAATCATTCATGACATTCTATCCAGATAATGATGCAAGAGCGTACTAATTTGTTAATGAACAAGAAAAGAAAGTGGTCCAAGAAGAGAAAAATTGAGGGCAAAGAATATATCAAGTTTATTCATATAATCAAAGGTTGACTATTACAGTGAATAAGTCCTCTTATTTATAGAACAAAAGAAACTGAAAGAATATAAAATCAAACAAACTTCTACTAAACTATAATATTGTCGAAATATTATAACTAATCTAATTTAATCTGAATAAATATACATTAAATCAAATTCTACTTTTAAAATTCTAATTAACTTTCAACTCTATCTCCATTAGAAAGACTCTAAAAATATTAGAATAGTTCTAATGTACCTGAGATATGACACGTCAAATATATCACAGGACATAAGACAAAAGGGCCAAGAAAAGGATATACATGTTAGCCAATTGGAATTTACCTCCACTAAAGTATAAAACATAGTTAAAAATCATTATCTGAACTAGACCCTGTACAAACAGCATAACTGGATTAAGTCTGATTTCTAGGATTAAGCCTCTATTCAAGTACAATTACATGCACAACCAAGACCTCAACGTCATAGACTCATTTGTGAAAAAACCAAATCATCAATCTACAGGATTGAGCATTTGATAAGTAAACCTGACTGCTAAAATGCCTCAGTGGCCAAAACACAATTACAATATCAAATTCCTGCCAGCATGTACAGGAATCAACTTATCAAGTCTAAACATGTCATAAAAATCAATTAATCATTATAAATTACATAAACACAGTTTGACATAAAAAAACACATCCAGAGAAATATAAAAAAAAAATTCATTGGTAAGAATTGTTTTCCTTCCCTTTCCCACTGCTGTTTTTCTCTCCCAGTTGCTTAAATTTCTTTGTACTCCATCTTTCCATGTTTTCAACTAATCCATAGACCCTTACTACCCTCTATGGTGTTTACTTGTCAATCCCATCAGCAACCATATCAACGAAGGTTTATAAATTTAAAATAAAGATGAACGTGCAAATAAGGACAATATACAACATGATTTGGCTTATTCCTGTTCTCTTGAAGTCAATCAAGACAAAGTTATTGAAGAATTCACAGCTTTCTGAATTAAAAATGACAAATGACTTGACTGAGTCCAAAAACCAAAACTGAACATGATTGAATAACATAGATAGGGAAGTTTGACCATATAAATCACAGTGGATACTTGGACAACACCTCTGAGCTGCAAGATTCTAGTTCGGTTCCTTACAACTGGTCCAGAGAAAAGCCTATGTTGTCATATATAGAGCTAAAAATCTGCTCAAGTAAATCACACTGATAGTCCCTAAAGTTACAGAAAATTCCCATTGTAGTCCTTGAAGTTTCATCTTTAACACAATAGTCCTGATATCTTCATTTTATCCTAATGATCCAATTTGTACATTCTCCAAAGAACATAGTAACATTCTACCCATATGAAGTTAATAATCATGCACATGAAGGCATTGACATAAATATAAAGGGAATTCCTCAACATATTGTGTTTATGTATAAAAGACTTCAGTGCAAGCATTCAAAGTCTTTTTCTATAGAAATTAAATACAGGTTCTTTTATTTTACATTGATGGCCTCAAATTACATGTACACATTGACTACTTGTGGACATTTTCATCCATTCTTTAACAACAAACCGGTGAGAATTACAAAACATAAAGGACTTATATAGTGAAATCAAAACTTCAAAGACAACTAACATGATTCCCCCTAGCTACTACCAAGAGAATCAGTATTATACAACAATAAAACTGTTTGTCCAGCTTTCTTATCTCCCTATAAGAACATTAAATGGTTATCACAGTGAATTACTCAGAACTACGCCAGGCTTAATATTTACTTATCAAAACTCTAACGTTTAGCCCATGAGAATCTACATGTATTTTTACTCATAAGAAATGGAAAGAAAAAAATTATTTGAAGTTCACACAAAATTTTCAGCATTGCTATATTAATGTGATTCAGATAATCAAGTAAACTTGTCAAACATACCAAGCTTCATTGACACCATTAAAATTGATCAACAAAAGAACATGCTCCAAGCAGAAATTCTCAAGTACAGGTCCATATGAAAAAATAGTTCAAGAAAAGTTAATTTCCCTGATAAAACAGTTATTGCAATCTCTACTTATAGACCTAATGATAGCAACATATCCAAAAACACATGGTGCAAATAAACCAGATAAATCATCACCAAAGGAACATAAAGCACAAATCCAGGAATCCAAAACCGAAGTAGAAAACCCTGTAAGAACAAGTTGTATCTCCTAGTGCACATATACCAGCACCCATAGTTTATCTTCTCCATTGGGCATTTAATAATAACACAAATTGATAAGTAGTTAAAGACTCAACAGAGAGATATCATAATGAAAAATGTAAATTAATTTGTCAGAACTCCAGTAAAATAATGCATACCAGTTTGTCCATGCAGAAAGACCCATTTTAATGCTTGCCTACAATTACTACTCCAAGTATGACCTCCAAAATTATGTTGACCAGAAAACCTCAGTTCTCCTGAAAATAACATTACACAGGCTGGTAAGTTTACAAAAAGAATCACAACAATATGATTAAACAAAAAATAAAAATAAAAATGATATTGAATAAATAACAGTCCCTATTCATGAGTTCTGACAAGCTTGACATCTCAATCGATGGCAATAATGGATGCAACCTATGCAAATGAATAACATCGTTGGAAAACAACTTACCAACATGGGAAGCATTACTTGTTTTGGAACAAGGAATAAAATGCACCATTTCTGAAGATATATCCACAACTACTAAAATAGAATCAGGACTCCTAATTGTTTTAAGCAATCAATGGAGACAATCGAGCAACATCCCCTTTTCTTGCATTCTTTTTCTCTTTTCTTGTATTACATATAGTACTAGACCCGACCCGACCCGCACGTTGACCAAGACAAACCACCGGATCACTGGTTGAACATTTGGGTATCGGTGGGTCAATGCTAAACTTAGAATTTATATAAAAATGATTTTTTATACAAATATATTATATAAACGTGCTTCAAAAAAGTTAAATATAAGTTGTTTAAGTATCATTCTAGTTGAAAAATAAGAAAATGTTGATAATATGTATTAACATGTAACTTATATCTTCTTTTTTCTTTGCTTTTATCTTGTTGCGGTAGGAGTTTTACCTTTATATAAATTTAGCTACCTATATTAACTAAAAGGCAATCATCACGCTGGTGGATATAGGCACCCTTTTCCACTAAAGTGGCCAAGGTTCGAATCCCACTGCAACAAAATAGCTTTTTGTTTCAAAGGCAATTAGACTTTCTTAAAACTATTGGACAGGTTCGTGTTGACCGGTTCTCATTTTCATTAAAGCTTGGCCGGTTCGGGAGGTTATTGACAGGGTCTTTTGCAAGGCGGTTCGATATAGTAGACCAGACCGGTTCACCAGTTTTGGTCTGACCTCCTCAGTCCGGTCCGGTTTTAATAACTATCGTATTACATAACTTGTTCATCTTGGAAATAAATTTTATATTTTTGTAATCAAATTGGCACATCAGCATTCCGTCATTGTTACATTCCACACAAGATATTCCACTAGTTTTACTTTTACTAACGGATGTGAACACGGTGACTAATGTTGAAATAAACTGATAGTTAGGTGGCCCGTATGAGACAAAATGAAGTTTAGTGACCCGAATGATATTTCACTCTAAGTTCAGCGATCCATTATGAAATTAACCCTCAATAGATAACATGAATTAGTAGTGAGTCTAGTGACTAGTGAATTTTTCTTGTTCTTTTTAGTGAATCTCCGATTCAATCATATACATAGAAAATGGTCCATCAGGATCTCCTATTGTGCTATGGACCCCATCAAACAGACTGACCCTTTCAATTGTGTAATGCAATTACTCCAATCTGATGAAAATATAGCTTGAATTCTGTTACTACACTATTTTTTTTTTTTTTTTTTTTTTCAGCAAAGAATAATAATCTTTGCTGGCACAATAATCTTAATCAGCGCACAAGTATCAAACTACTCAAATTCAAGAATCCAGCTGTAATTTTGATGGTAACAATTAAAATGCAGAGCAATTGATTCAAGTAATACAATCATAATGCGTGTTCTACTGAAAAACACAAAAAATATTAACAAAAGCATATATTAAATTAGATTTTTCTCTTGCAACATGAGCAAATTCAGTATTTTCTCAACAATTCTCAAATCCCACGACAGAGCTTAATTTAAAGTGTGATTTGCTTACTTCTCTCATTAATCAATAAAAAAATGTTTTTTCGAACATGAATCATTAATAGTGTAGAAATTACCTGCATTTGGCATCGAACTCCAATTTTTTGTCGGAAATGGAGCAGAATTTCGGAGTCTCTTGAATAAATTAGCAGCTGCTTGTCGAAAAAACATGTTTTTCCGAAAAATCTTCCAAGTGAAATCAATGAGGGTTTGCGAAATTTTTTTGCTTTGGATTTTAAATGAATCTATAAAGTCTAAAACCATAAACCCTGTGTTGGAAGGAAGAATTGAAGAAACTGTGCGTGGTGATCCAAACGGCCACGCAGTCATATAGGGACTGAAATGTAATAATATCATAAACAAAGCACGTGATCTGCAATAACTTTTTCTAGCATTCAAGTCCTCAAACATGATTTGTCAATGCAGATAGGCCATCGATTAAACAAAACCATCAATATGATCGATAAACTTGCAAGTGATATCTAATTTGAGGATTATTTTCATCGACCACGAGGATAAGCTCGTTTCCCATGGAAGGCAAGATATAATGTGCTCAACGAGACTCAGAGATTGTCTGGGCGCAATTTTCTGGACCAAAAAATTGATTTTTCAACCGTTAATTTCAACAAGGGTCCCACCAATGTGAGGAGGAGGTCAACAAGTGCGGCTCCAACGGTACAAAAAAGGATTAAAATCTTGGCGAAAATTGGAAACAGACAAGCCCTCAATATGTGATATATATCTTACATTTTTAGGGGGTGGTCCATTGCAATAAATACTAGACGAAAATAATCCTCGAAGAAATTATCATGTGCAAAGCATGTGATTATAGAAGAGTTGATGGGCTCCATTTAGTAGTGACCAACTTGTGGCGAATAAAAAATGTGAACTAAAAGGATGAGAGTCGATTTTTTTTTTGACAATTCAATCGATTGACTTCGGACATATTGATTGGGTCAAATGTAGCCCAATGTCCAACCGAGTGAAAAGGCGGGCAATATTGATCAAATTTGATGATCACTCAATCCTTATTTGATTGTCTAGACTCGTTACATTTGAGGTAAATTTCATTCGTGGCAAATATACTTTTATGAGGAAATTGTATATTAGTTTTCTTCAAACGGAAAACTATACTTCGATATGAGTTCAGTTGGATAAACAATTACTAAGGCCGAGCAACTAGCTACTGATTGGACATCTATCTATCTCACCACGTTTCCTTAGAGGGAAGGAATGCTTTGCTCATCTTTTTTGCGACTCATTACCGCAACACTTGAAAACTCTTCAACTTCTTCCAGATGATCTCTTTTTCTATGAGTTTATGTATTGTTACTTATCTCATGTCACATGTATGCCACAATATATCTCGTGATGCATGAGTCATAATGTCACATGGCAATATTTAAAGCAATATCATACAATTGAATAATATTGTGAATACTCATAAGCAATTAGAGGTAAGATGACAAATGTTCTCTCAAAACAAATATTATGTTTGACATAATGGTTGAAGCACGGAGTCTTGAATCGTTACATAGAACAAGTTCATAACTATGGTCATCGACCAACACCACACACCATATTTTCCTATTAGAGTAGTATTAGTTGATACAACTTATTGAATTATTCTAGATTATGAGAAATTTTTTCAAGTGGTAAAAAGTACTTCACAACAAAATGAAAGATAAAGAATTTTTAATAATTTATTCTCAAATATTTTTACATATAACTCAAAATTTTATACAACATATTAACAAGTTAAGATAAAAATTCCCCAAATCTGGTTGTGTGTGGCCATGTTAATGTAGTAAGAGGAAATTGCACTAGATGTCAATTTTTGACTTTGCATTTACGAAAATGTCATTTTTTTAGTTTTTCCAAGATTGTCAATTTTGGACATTTTTGCCCCTCTACATAATTTAAATACCTTAAATGTGTAGCATTAATTGAGATTTGACTATTGTACAAAATGTCATTGATGACAATGGGTCAATTTATCGCCTCATTTTTTCTTTTCTTTTGACTATATTCTTTGTTATCCTCTCTCTAGCAAGTCCAATTCGAAATCAAACACAAATAGATTTCAGGAGAGATGGGGGTTCGAGCCAGAATAGCAGCAACAACAACTGGTGATGGTGGAGGAGTGGATATGCTGAGTGAAAGAGCAACAAAGATGAGGGAAGCACTGCAGAAGAGCGAATCAATCACTGATAAAATGGTATCTATTTTGGGCTCCTTTGACCATCGACTCTCCACACTTGAAACCGCCATGCGCCCCACCCAAGTAATTTTTCCAAAACATGCTCTTATATTAGATTTATGTTCTGCCAAGTTCAATTATCTGATTGCTACGTGATAATCAATGGAAATCTTGAAAAGATGTTGAATAAAGAAAGAAACCCAAGTTGTGGTTCTTGATCTGATTTCTGTTACTACTTCTTTTTGTCAATATGGTGGCAATTTAATGCTAAATTACCAAGGAGTGAGAAAGGAAGAAAGGATTTTTTGAGTTAGGTTTGGTGTAAAAGAACTTGCCTTTGTGCTTAATTTTACCTCGGATGTTTTAAAGAAAAAAATGTCAATTTCATACTAGAGAAGATTAATTTTTTTTGTTGTTTCTGATCAAATAACAGCCATTATTGAAATGTGAGACTGAGCAAAAATTTATGATCTGAATCATTGTAGTTCATCAAGTCTTGTTTACTGTATTGCTGCTTTTCATTTCTGCAAACTTGGATTTCAATATGGGCAATCAATAGCTTTTGGCATTAGATTTTCCATTTTTAGATCATCAGTCATGCTCATCAGAGGGTGATTTCACCGTTTTCTACTTGATTTTATATTTATACTTTCTAGTATTCACTATTCAATTTCCAGTATAGTTATTGAGAAAACTGAGTGTTATGTGGTTGTCGTGAACTGTAGTTCCCGACAGTTCACCGCAGTAGTTCTCGGCAGATGGGAGAATATTGACAGACAAACTGTAGTTCCCGACAGTTCACCGCAGAAATTCTAGGCAGATGCTTGAATATCGACAGATGAACTGTCGAGACCCAAAAGTTTTTCTCAATTTCTCTTGACACTTGACAACTTCACATGTGGAACGTTGGTCGATCCGAGCGTAATATGTGAGTTTCGCATTAACATATACGACATATTGTGCACCACAATAATTTCATTTGTTTTTGTGCAATTGTAATATATTGTTTCGTGTGTTATGATTTTCGTACCAATGTTGATATTCGTTTTATTCCCTTATACGATGTTCGTATTATTTCGTTAAATTTTGTTTCTTAATTTGTTGTTGTATCTTGCCATCAACAAGTATCCTATATCACGATCTGACATTTTTTTCATTTTCTTACTGTACCTTGCAGAAGAGATGGATTTCGAATGGGAGATACCCGAAAATGCACGGTTACTGGCTCGCATTTTGTAGCGAAGCAACCTTAGTACATAAAAAGGGTCATGGACCATCTCGATGAGCGGCAGCTCCAAGTTAAGTGACCACATGTATGCAATATATATTGCGATTTAAAGATGTAAATTTGATATGTTTCCCTCATGCACATGCTTTCGACGTACCAAAGGTTAAGTAGCTAAAAACTCTCAATCTAACAGACTATTCATCTCTCTCAGGGTCATAGAGTAGGGCTGAACGTGGAGCAGCCATTGCTTTACACCACATCGCAGAGGTTTTTTGTGCCGATATCTAAGTATATTGTTCCTTTCGTGTTGATGTGGTGGTCTTTAACTATCGCTAGCAATTCTTCAGGATAAAAATTTAGTTTCAGCAAGTTCGCTTTGAGTTGGATCCATGAATTTGGATTCGTAATCCTGTAAAATGAAGACAATTTTTATGTTATGTCTGGGTAAAACTTGGTGGTGACGCCAAAATATTGTCTCGATGAATGTTATTTTAACTCAGCAACGCAACAATTGTCCCATTTCATTTTCTTCTTCTTAGCCTTAGTCTTTCAATTATATTTCACTTTTATTATTATATAAATACAAGCTTGTGTTATATAATTTTTTCTGTATATCAGTTACATTTGTATAGGACAATTTTTGAAAGTTTGCGAAACAATATGTATTAAAATTAATAATTCATTACAGTGATGCCCTCTTCAATTGGGTCTTAACAGTGATAAGCATTGTCGGTATACATTCATGTATAGAGGGTGTCTAGGCGCGCTGAAATGGGTTAGGAAAATCAATTTTTAAAATGTTGGAGGAGACAAGTGGGTCCCACTCCTGAGAGAGAGGGTCAACATTTGTGGGCTGCAAAGGGCAAAAAATCCATGTTTTGGCAAGGATAATCCGCACTAGACCGGCTGATAATCTTCTCATTCGTTGCTTAAATTTTACGTCCTGTAAACTTGGGAGTTATGTAAGAGTAGCAGGACATTTTTTATAATGATGTCGAATGTAGATTTGGGGCCCATGCATCCTTCAACTGTGACTTAAATATTTTTGTTTGTATGGCAAAATATTGCACATGGTATCCATGTTGTCTAAAGTTGGGGTACTATGTTGTGGTTGGAATGCGAAGACACGGAGTGAATAAACATGTTCACGAATTCTCATCGAATACTTAAGTTCATGCATGGTTTTTGCGACTCATAGTTCCTTGCCTATTGGTGCATCAATTTGTTGAAGTATGTAAAAATCTCATAGGACAATATTGTCTTGATGAACGGATACAAAGGTCATAATGAGAATTGATTGCAAACAAATACATGTATCATTTTTGAAGAGAAAATAGTACGCACGCATTAAGATTTACAATTGTCATAAATTATGTACGAAGTTTAAGTCATAACGGTACAATTGGACCTTAAACAATCACACAAATTGGATGTCAAAATAAGTTTGAGATGTGATTTGGTTGTTGTGTAGTAACTGACCATAGTTGCTTTCTTCAATGAAGTTCATTATAAATAGCATGACATCACTAAATAAGTGAGTTACACTTGAAAACTTCATAAGATTTGTCACTCTGTATAATACTCAGATAGAAAAACAGTTTCATGAATGTCCCTTATGCCTCGTATGTGTAGTTACAGTTTGCAGTATGTGCCAACTATCGAGAATGATAGAAATAATCTGTCGGGCACGACAGATGAATTGTCTAGTTGTCATCCACATGAACAAACTGTCCCCCATACAACACGATGAATCTCAAATAATTACTTATATTTGAAATGTTTCCGTTGCAACAGTAAGAATTGCGCACAATAAACATGTCTACATTTAATAATACGAATGTGGAACTTTCGAATATTGAAAACCGTGGAGTAGCGGAAGGTGAAATCAATTATGTGTCAACAGTTTTCAAGTGTCGAATTCGACAGTTAAATTGTCTATCCCGACAGTTCACATGTCTAAATCGACTGCTTCAACAGAATTATTCGACAGATGAACTGTAGGAACTGCCGGGAAACTTGAAAACATATATTTCGCACCTTTGAAGAAATTATTGAAAACATTAATGGTGATAATCAATTCTCAACTACCATATGAAAACATCTTCTCATTAATAAATAACTCAATCGTTCATTAAATATGAAATCCTTCAATTTTGTACAGGATATTAGTATTTTTATCTTTCAAAAATATTTGAAAAACCAAACAAATCAATGAATAATATTTTAAAAAATTTCTCCCATTGCATTTCACCATATTGTATTTAACATCTACAAAATAGTAATCTATGAGATAAAATTAATAAACAATTTGTAAATGTTAACTTCTCAAAATGGATGATGAATTCAATAGTTATGTATTTTTGATCAAGGAATGAAGAAGATGGAGAAGAAGTTAGAGTTTGTTAATGGGAAGAAGATGTGTGGTTTTGTTAATATTTCAATTTTTTTTAATCTTTTTTCCTTTAAACAAAATTCATATTACTCAATATAATATACATATAAACAATTTTTATATTATTTAAATTAAATCATCACATCATATCATTAATTACATTCACATCAAATATTAAATGCTCCTAAAAATGCGTCATTAAGGGTAATTTGGACATTTTCCACCCAAAAAGTGATTTTTTTGCTCACAAAAAGTGAAAATGGCAATTTTTTTTTTTTGATTNATATTTTTGTTCAAAAAAATTTTAAATTTAATTTTTTTTTTTTTTTTTGGATTTTCAAATTTAGTGATATTTATGAAAATTCAAAGAGAGCAAAGACACGTGCCCCATAAACTATTAAAACTCTCAACACCTGGCAAAAGTGAATGCTGAAATCTCAAGAGGAGCAATAAAGTGGGACCAACCAATTCTCGTCAATTTCCAATCTTCAAATCAAAATAAGTCCCATACAACCCATGAACAAATGAATTAGCTTCAAACTCTGCCCTTGTTTTGTGATTACAGTGAGTAAAAGATAGCAGATTCCGGTGAAAACTCAAACGGGTTTTTAATTGAGGGTCTAGGGTCAGTGAAGAATCTGGATTTCGTACGAAAATTAAGAAAGGTTCACATCATCATCAAGAACTGGGAAAATTGACTCTTTACAATGTTTTCTGTAACTTGATCAATGCAATTTTCTTTCGGAGCCCTAATTCTCGTTACGGTTCTGCTCATCTGCTGCACCGGATCAAAGTTTCCGTTTCTGAAAATATTCCCTTGCTTTGTGACGCTTCGACAAATAGTGGTCGACATGTTCTCGCCTGGGCTCGCCGTGGCAGCCCCTTCCGCCTCCTCCTTGTCATCTTTGTAAGTATACTGTACAGAGTCTTGGGTTCGTCCTCGTTAAGAGGAGTAGCCCAACGCAGCTATTATTTTCACATGCACCCGGGTTTTTGCCCTTAACATAGTAACCTGTAATTTTATTTTATTTTTTTTTCCGAATTTTTATGTTGTAAGCCTATTCCTAATCCTAAATGGAATGGAACGACGTAGGAATTCATATGTAGACATATTATCTATTTAGATACGCTCGAATGACACCTTTTTGTTATGGGTATATTTATTATAGATGCATGTTTTTAAGGAAGTATTGTTGACTATTTTCTTTAATTTTGATTCTATCTGATGTGGGTTTAATTAATGGCTGGTGAATTTGATCTTATGGTATTTTGATAAAATTGTAGGAATTTTTATTGAATTAGAATTGGAAAAAGTTTCTTTGTTGGTTGGCTACTTAGCCCTTGTTTGTGTTCTATTAAACCAATATATACAACTCCTAACAATAATATCATATAAATGCTAATTCATGATTCCCTTCAATAACCACAGAAGTATAACACAACATAAAGATAAGTCGAATTCTCAAACTTTTACCATGAAAATAACACGAATTATACATATAGATGCAAATTACATAGTGAGCCCATCTAATTATCCACAAGTGATGTAGAATGACATCCAAAAATGAACATCTGTCCCAAAATACTGACTACATGCTCTATGAAATGAATCATACTAACTAACTCTGTCGAGTGGTTTTGACTCCAAAATCAAGGCTCAACTCCAAAAGATGCCCAAAAACTCAAACCTGATAAGGAAATGGTGGAAAAATATATGAGTGGATAGCTCAGTGAGTGGAGAAATTAAAAAATAATTATACTTTTTTATTTATACATTTTTATAAAAAATCAAGTTTACATCCTTTAACAATCCACAGTAGAACAATATATAATAACTAAAGAGTGAGACGTCCTGATAATATTGAAAAATATCATCTCATAATCATTATATAATCATTAGCTGAAATCTATATCATCATCTCATCACATCAAATATATCGCGAAATCTATCAAAATGTACCCTCCGACTGAAATATGTAATCTAGTCATACGCGCATAGACAGTCCCTTGGGCTAAGCAACCCCGACACGGGCCTCAGGCCCCCTCAGTGAATGGAAGTGGGTCTCAAAGACCTCTCATAATCAATACAAGAACACAGCCAGGCCCCTCAGTGAACTGGAATAAATATATAATCATGGGTACTTTTCTGGCTGATCTCAATATTACAAATGTCTCCCATTCCAATTTACAATTAATCCATATAAAATCTTTAAAATTCCACATATATCATAAGTAAATAATGTTTCCACATTAATCATGTAATTTGACAAATAATTCACATAATTGCATAAAATGTATAATAATATAATTAATTTATCAATACTTGAAAAATATTTAAAATTTTCCCACTCACAAGCTATTTACGTGACGATTAGTTTGGCTGATAAGTTTTCCCGATATCCATATCGTCGCCTGAAACGTGATAACAATTGTAGGTGCAAAATTAGTAAATGATTTAGCATACATCGTAGATCATTAGAGAGGCATTTTTCCTGAGTATACTCATGAATCTATTATCAGATGGAGGCATTTTTTCTATTATACTCAAGAATCTGGTGTTCTTGAAATGATTCCGCATAGATAGGAGATTATCAGATGGAAGCTTTTTAACCGATTATACTCATGAATGTAGTGTTTTGGACCTGAGTGGGAACAAGTCACGTGAGGGTGGCACTATGCCAAGAAATATGCCTTATGTAATTCTAGATCACACTTGGCATACAGCCTACTACACTTGGTCATTGAATCAACCATTTAAACCGTTTTCATGTGTCCTGTTTGCTCTTTATTTGCCAGTTTTGGCAAGACAATCATCAGTTAAGTGCCATTTTTGCTCGTAACTTCTTCCGACAAAGTTGTTGTATAGTAGGTTGCCCAGAAAATTGCATTATATGTCTACTAGAAGAAGCCAAAGCTCAGTGATGAAAATGAGTCTTTTCCCAGTGACATGTTCTTGTACCACCTACATTTTTCTTTAATCACTTCACGACTCAATGTTTTTTGTACCATTATAGGTAGGTTTGTGATACTCCCTTTTGGAGCATCATGTTTTCGAATAATGTAATAAATTTAAGTTCCAATTACTTTTGAGACTTTGTTTTGTTTTTCTCCCGTATATTTTGTTAGAATATCCCTACATTAATCTTTGTAAATTGTAATACAATAATTGTTGCAGTTGGGACAATTTTACTCTTCACATTGACTGGATTGCTGGTTTTTTTTTGCTTTTCTTTGCTACTGCAACCTTCAATGACGTTGTCATTTCTCTATTCATGACTTTAGTGGTAGTGGGAGGATTCTTGGCTCCTTTCTTCTCCTGTGTTGCAGCCATTAATGTTGGCGCACTATCAATAGCTGTATGTGTCATTTCTACTGCAACAACTGTTTCCATTATTGCTGTTCTTATAGCTACAGGTAATCTTTCTATGATTATGCTCTCTACAAGTATGACACATTCAAAAAAAAAATTTCTCTTTATTTGTCTTGTTTCCTCTGCCTATTTTGTTTCAACAATCTTGGTCTTGAATGCTCACTTATTTGGACATGTATCGAATAAATATAGAAGAAAAGAAAATAGCTAAGTTTTTTACTTTATACGGTTGAACTATGAGACTCTTTTCTTACGGTCACTTTTATCGAGGCATTACAAACCCATGGTTATGGACCTAGATCCATTAGGATGGAACATTTTCTTTTCCAAGTGAAACCCCCTAGTTTATCTTAATTAATCCTTAATTAGCATACTATTTCATCTATTCTAGTATAGTCTCGATCTATCTTAATATCATAACTTTTACTATGTTCGTCATCTTTGATATTTTTGTTTAATGGCTCAACATTCATTTTAATTGACATTTCGTCTTTTACAAGCCTGACGCTTAGCTCTGAAAAGGACAAATAGTATGACACAACTTTCTTTCCAACTCAGTAGGTATAGTCCAATCACATAAAAACTTTACTGCCATCTAAACTTATCCTATGCATTACGTTCTGTTCAAGTCCTTTTACCTTATTTTTAAATGAATCTGAATTCTTTTGAACACTATGATACCATGCATTGATTCCACTACCATTCTTATTTCGAGTATGGCTAAAAATGATATTTTCCGAATTCTTTCACAACTTAAAATCTTATAGATTCCAAAAGGCTCTTCCGAACTTATAAACATATTTATCAATGGATATGTCGCTTCACTCCACTCCGCTCCGCTCCACTCCACTCGGGCATCGGCCTATTTATTTCAGTATTCATGTGTTCCACTATATGAGCCACATACACAACATAAATCTTTATGCAAGTATAAAGTATGTTATCTCATTTGTTTTTACGCTAGATGTGGACTCTAAGTTCTGCTATTATTACGTAAGGGCCAATGTCTGTGATATGCTGAACAACTTGTAAGAAAACGTAGATTCTACCTTGTTATTTTATATATCATGAAACTTAAACTTTTCTTGTGGGAATCAAGTTGGATTGGATTCTTCTGCAATGTGTGGCTGTTGGCAAAGAAAATTTGAATGAAGAGCTGCCATGGAATGGAGTTTTTACTATGTAGATATGTGTAGTGCCCGCAGCCCACTGTTCATGAAAATATTTTTCGAATAAAACCACCGTAAGTTTACTGTTCGTAACAAGTGATAAAATGGAATTTAGAGTTCCGAATATCGTCCCATAGGGATTGATTTAATTCAATTTTACTATTTCGATCTTAATCGAGACAAGAAAATAGCACGTTTACATTGTAACGGAAATTATGACTAAACTAATTTACGAATGTGATTATTAGTAAACTAATTTAACTAGAATGTAAAACAATTCTTGAAAACGAGTTGTTAAATTTAATGAATAAAAGGCACACTAGAATCATGAATCCGTATGCAATGATCTTTTTTAATCCGAATTCTACAAATTGACAACACGGTTGAAGTTTTGAAGAATTAATGTTCATATTCTATCCAACAATCTCTCTCAAGTAATGTTGAACCTACTCTTATATACGACCCGACTATATCCCTAAGACGAATGCAAATATACAAGAATGCATGGATTTCTGTGAACACTTATTCACGTAAGGTATAACGGTATATCTCTATTTCCTATCGGACCCTACGATGATTTATACCTTGTCGAGCTTATTTCCCTTCCCTCTAATGCATGAAATATGCCACCAGATTCACACAATCATTTGCGCACATTATTGTGGAGAAAAATAATTATATATAAATCATTCAAATTCAAATGTGTTTTAATGTGAAAAATGTAAAATCAGGAATTAAAAGATTACATCACATGATTCATCATTCTCCTAGTATTGAAATATATAGTCTAACGTGGAGAAAATAATAAAACATACAAATAATTGAAGAAACGGCATCATCGATTCAATATTCTGTTTGAAATCTCGTCAATCTTGTGTTTCTCTTCATATTTTTACCTCAAGATTTCCTTCAATGTGTATTCTAGGGTTTCTCCTTCAGTTGGAATACCTTCATTCTCGTATTTGACGGCTCTAAGATTTTTTATTCATCCCAAAATTTGTTTCCTAAAGTGTTTGAACAAAATAAGGAAACCAGAAATTTTACTTCGAAAACCTACCATGCGGCCGCAACATTTAGGCCCCTATTTCCCCTGCAAAGGCTTGTACGACCTCATGGAGAGTTCTACCATGCTGCCGCATGGTAATGAGCCATGCGACCGCATGGTTCATAACATTTAGGCCCCTATTTTCCCTGCAAAGGACTGTACGACCGCATGGAGAGTTCTACCATGCAGCCGCATGGTAGAGAAAAGTCTCCAAGTGTGTCGTTTCAGTCCTCGAACCTTATTTTCTCTCTTTTAAACCTCTTTTCTTCATTTTCCTTCTTCTAACATCCTTTGTACTCATCAAATTAGGACTTAGCTCATTTACATTCTCAAGTCGTGATTCGGGTAATCTTTCTTCATTCTCCTTCTTCTAACATTCCTTGTACTGTCTTTTCTCTTGAGTTCTGCCACATCCATCAAAATAGTGGTACAAAACGAAATTATGTAGAATTAAGGCACATTCAATCACTTTTGTCAACAATTAATCATGTTATGTGGCAAAATAAGTGTTGGAAAATGCACTTATCACCCACTTAGACGACTATGTTCGCATTGTATTACGTTGATGATGATGCTGTTGCTAGAGATTATCTCTTGTATGCAAAGTATTGGACCTAGTTTTAGTCAGTGCCAGTTTTTCTTCTCTATGCTACCTTTTTCCTTGTACTCGTAGACAAATGTGTGGATATATAAGATGTTTAGAATTATGGTGCTTATTTTTAGTATAGTTTCGTGGTGTGCTATCCCAGGCACCCAACAATATGTTCTTAACTTCTAAAAATAAATGTAGTAGTGGAAGCAAGGGTCGATCACACGAAGAGTGATTAATCTAATTTTATGCTATGTAAACGATGATTGGAGGGGTTTGATTATACGCAAACAACTTTAATTAAACAACCCAAGACAAGCGCTATGGATTTAATCTAGTACCCACTTTAATAATTAGAGAAATCGATGAAACTAAATAACACAATCACAAGCGATTGTATTTAATTATTCAAATGTTCTTCCCAAGATTTAACAATTTCTAACACACCAAATAATTAAATCCTATTTGCTTCACAAGTTAAAGAGATCAAACCATTACGGAATTGATATTTAACTCAGCTATAGATTGCAACAAATAATAAACTAGTAGACATCCTAACAATTAAATACAACAATCATGAAAATAAGTAGAGAAAAACATTCAATACTCAAAATATGAATTAAACGATGAAAATAAATTAGATATCACGGTTGGATTGGTTCCGAGACTTTAGTTTCCTTCGACCAAGTACAAGGATTTAGCTACTCATGAAGAATTCTAAGAGCAAAACAAGAGAAAAGAGGGTATGGGGGCGGGTGTATCTTTTCTCCCCCGACCTAGGGTTTTAAAAGACTAATTTATAGTTGTTTCCATAAGTGTTTGAATCAAATTCGAAAATCAGATTTCACGCACCAAAAATGCTCTATGCGATCGCATAGTATAAGTGGATACAACCGCATAATTGATTTGAACGTGGCCTTGAAATTCCTTGAAATAATAGATGCGACTGCATTGCTTTAAAGCGATGCGACCACATAGCTTTATCTATTTCTATTGGACAGCTTTCAGTATTTTGATCATATCTTTCTCTCTCGATATCTGATTAAAGAGATTCAAGATGTGTTGGAAAGTCATTAAAAGGTATAAAAATTGTCCAAAAATATAACGTTTCCAATTCGAACGTTTCCCATGACAAAAATGGGTCTCAAACGGAGACTGAAAATCCTAGCATAATTTTTTCGGCTAAGAGTTGATATGTGATAGTACTTTGACTATATTTCACCCCTTTGACTTCTTTCCTCATGAAATCGATACCTAACACTCTCAAATCTTCATCATGAAGTTCGATGTAACTTTTGAGTATTTGCATTTCAATCCCCGAACTTTGTATTTCTTCCATTTTAGTCCTTTTCGCTTGTTTCTTCTATATGTCACCATATTCATCCAATTGCAACCTTTCACGGAAATAAGCACTCGACTCTCGTGTGTTTGAAGGGTATGTGTTTCGCTCAAGTTCATTCAAATGGAGACGATCTACCACATGCTTGTATATCTTCTCATTCTCCACCAATTAGACCACAAATCATAAGGACTTTTTGAAGGTTGTAATAGAGCTTAGGGTCAAGGTGAAAAATATTTGGGAATATAGCTCAAAAGCCATCGAAAGTAGTAGAGCAAACATGAATCAACTCAATCTCAAATATAGAAGACGTGTAAAGTACATCACTCTACTCAGTAGTTCCTTCAATTTGCATCTATCTTGCATAAATAAATCACTTTCTTAGCAGTTTAGGAAGAATTATGGACAAGTTTGTAACTTTAAAGTCATTTCCTCCATCACTTTTTTTTTCTTCGTCTTCTTTTTTTCCTCAACCATCTTTTTTTTTTTTTTTTAAATTACAGCAACAATGGAACTTGTGAATTGAGAATGAAAACCACATTCCATTTCATCAGTCTCAGCCCTACCATAACTCCATACACCCCACACTTATTTCTTGCGCACCGATGCATATCATAATGATGAACAATACTCCACTAACTCTATAGTTTGGGTAAAGACATTGTTTTTCCAGGTTAAAGCTTGTAACGTGGGTTTAAAAAAAGGAAAAGGTAATCAAGCTCAAATTGGTTCAACAAAAGGAAAAATAAATTATAAGGTAGGCTATTTGGCTTAGATAGCTAACTTATATAACAAAGATGACCTTAATCATGTTCATGCATGCACGTATCAATATGGCCTTGAAGAAAATCAATGCAAGTTCTAGAGAAACAAATCCATAGAAGAATATCATTCATTAAAGAAAATAGTGAGATTGATATAGATGTGTTAGTCTAAAGACTCAAAATCTCATCGGCTGTTGTCTACAAAATTCAGTTAATACCATCCTCAAAGAAAATAACTACACTAATTAACTCTAAGTTTGGAGATCACTTATTCAATCATGTTATGCGTTCTTCAAAAGCTTAATTGAATCTAATAAATAGCATACACAACAAAAAATATTTAAAAACCACCACTTTTTTCCGAAATTTTATTTTTATTCTTTTTTTTTTCAAAATTTAAACTCACATTAATATGAAAACAACTCAAACACAACCTAANTTAAACTCACATTAATATGAAAACAACTCAAACACAACCTAAATTCTCTCCCACACACTTAAAGCTTACATTGTCCTCAATGTAAGGTGAAATGAAAAAAAAAAAACCACAATATGAATGCAAAAATAAAAACATAAAGGAACGAACTTCATTTGGGTTGTCTTCCAAACAGTGCCTTTGTTTATTGTCATTGCCTCGACTTGCTGCTTCCTTCTTCAACCGGCATCAGTTGGATCCTTGAACACCTTGAAAGTTGCTAAACTTTGAATTTCAACCCCATCATGCGCCTGCAACACAGAGGGTAGAGGCCTCTCATTAGATACTGGTAATGCAAAATAAGAAATGTTACCTGACTACTGTTACTTTGGAAAATTATTCAATGCTACAACAGTTTCCTATAAGACAATATTCATGGTCTCTTCCTCATTCTCTTTCTCAAGATGCTTACTAATGGCAACTTCCAATCCATCTTTTCCATCAAGTTCAAAAGCTTCATGTGCTAATTGATCAATCACATCAATAGAATAAACAGGATTATCATCTTCAGGGTATTTCATGGCATCATAAATATTAAATTTAATAATTTCACCATCAAATTCTATGGTAAGTGTGCCACTATGAACATCTATTTTAGTTTGGATGTCTTGAAGAATGGTCTTCCTAAAAAAATAGGGGTCGTTTGATCAC